AAAAAAAAAAAAAAAATCACTTTCACCTTCGAAGTTACATCTTACGTATAATGCGAAGTAAAATGGCAAAACACCACCAAAAGAATTCGAAAGCGATGTCGAGCACCGCTACCCAATGGAATGTTAAGCTCGTCTCTCGCGTTGGCGAATATAAAAAAAAAAGAAAAAAAAAAAAAGAAAAAGAAAAGAAGAGACACCTTGTCGCAGTGTTAATAGGTATACAATGGACAACAACGAGCACTCACCAAGTGATACAGCCTCTGTCTGGCCGCGTGGCCCGTATCCATGTCCCCGTTGGCAATGATCATGGGCGGCGAGTGCTGGCTGTCAAAGTAAATCGCGTTACCCGTCGAGTACATGCTCGTGGGACTGAGCAAGCCGTGATTCGGCGTCCCCGGCATGTGGAGATGGTGCCTACCGGCTGTCTGATGATTGTAGTGTTGGCCGTGCAGGTGCTGCTGGCTCGCGGATTTCGCGCACGTGTGGCAGGGTTGCTTGCACGAGAGAGCAAAGCCGTCGTTCTGCCGCGGTATGAGCGACACGACCGCCGACTCCTTGACCCCGTAATGGGCGAGGGTGTTGATCTTGCGCCAATCGCCGCAGCCCTTGGTCGTGAGGTCCTCGTCCTGGAGGGTGAGGTGCCCACCCCGTCCGTGCCTCCACTCGAGGTCGACCTCGTGGATCGCGGGCCTCAGGGAGAACGGCGTGTTCTTGTACAAGGCGTCCAATATCTTGGACTTGACCTGGCCGATGGTGTCGCAGTCGAGGACCTTGCACTGGATCTTCTCGTCGAGGTCGTCTTGCACGACGTGCAGGCTGACCAGCGAGTGGTCGATCTGTTCGCGCAGCAAACGCTCCTCCGAGAGGGAGTAGCGGGCGTCGTGGGTGACGGCGTCGACGGGGCCCTTTTCGATCTGGTGCTTGATCGCCTTGAACAGGAGAAACAGGGAGGAGCCCGCGTAGTCCCTCAGGTAGTTGTACATGCAGAGGGCCATCCAATTGGTGAGCATTTTTTCGACCACTGACTCGGTCCGGCGCAACATCAGCTGGGGATGCTTCGTGTTGACGGACTTGTCGACCAGCCGTAGCATCAGGTGCATCAGTATGTCGGTCGCGTACTCCATCTTGCCCATGAGGACGATCATGAGGAGCGAGGCGACGTTCACCTTGTCCCGGATGTTGAAGTCGCTCTGGGACTCGAGGGTCTCGATGAAGCTCAGCACGAACGACTTGTTGTTCAACAGCTGCTCGAACTGCAGCATCGCCGCGTCGTAGTTTGTCCGCGTGACGTTGCTCCGCGTCCTCGGATCGTTCAAAATCGGATGGTCTATCACCCCCGGGAAAAACACCTACACACGGTCCATTCAAAACAAAACAGAGCATCTGTGGTTAACAATGACGTGAAAACAACCCCTCGAATACATTTGTTTTTGATGCGTCCTTTGTAGGTGTATATACTATTAAAAGTTTTGGCCGAGCTTAGGAGAAGCGGCAAACAAACCGAAATCTTTTTACTCGGCGCGTAGACGCACGGGAGCCGGGGGGGGGGGGGTATAACTTCCGCGGCGGTGGCTACAAGCTTGTATAGTCGCACATTTAAATTCAAAAGTTTCGCAAGGGAGAGGGAGGGAGTTTAGAAGCCCCCCGTGACTCGGCGGTGTGCAACGGTGGCGGTGGAAGAAAAAGGTATCCCGCCTCCGGGCTCCGTCTGCCGATGTCTCGTATACACCCAGATGGTGTGCCATCTTTCTCGTCGTCGCTATCGCGGCTGCATAATATATATATGTATATATGTATAAACCCCCCGACCACTGCCCGCGTACAATACCCCATACCGTCTCTTCGCTATCTCTGTGGCGTTGCGTGCAGGTGTGTATATAATATACAACGTATAGTAGGGGACGGTCTTTGCGACAACTTGCCGGAGATTTTAATATTTATCGAGAACAAAGAATTACGCGGTTAATTAAGATGCCGGGTTGTTTTGCCGAGAGCCACCGCGGGAAAGGGAGAATTATTAGTTTTGCCAAGAGGAAGGGTGTGTGTGTGTGTGTGTGTACACAAGAGGGGGGATTTTTGTGAGAGGAAAGGAAGGCGTTTTGGGGAAAGTTAGTGGCGCGAGATAACGACGCCGGCCCGGCAAGTCACACACAGGCGGAGAAAAGAGCTCGGAGATACGTATCTCGGTAAGTAAGCGGAGCCGCTGATGGTTGATTTTGTAAATGGTGTGTAGGTACGGAGAGTAGGAGGGGCTACAACGTGTACAGCGGAAAAGAAGAGCAACGTCCGTATACTCTTATCGAGGGAGGGCAATTAATTTTTCAATCTCTCTCTCTTGGAATTATCTAATCGCGTCTTGTCGAGAATGAAAGATGCTCGGCTCGTGTATATACAGGGGAAGCAGAGTTTACGTTGCGCGTGAGTGCCTTTATGCGCATCAGGTATACGTATAGTATGTACGTCTGGAGGGAGTGGAATTTTAATGCCTCGTTACTTTTTCATACAAGCATTACTTGTGTACCAGCGTCCCGCTCGCTCTGGAGTCTCGTACCATCGCAGGTACATGCACGCGTATATACACGGTAACTTTTTTAAATTTTTTTATCAGAAATAAAAACGTAAAAGCGTTAAACACGGCGACGATAAGACGCTGCTGGCGTTATGACGCTCCCTCTCTCTCTCTCTCTCTGGCTTAATGGCCTAATGATCTGTAATTCATAAACCATGATAGCAGCTCTTCTTCTTGTTCCATCTCCTCCTCCTCCTCCTCCTCCTCGAGTGGCTCTCTGTCTTCCTCCCCCCCCCCACCCCCAACCAACCAACCAACCAACCCCCTTTTGTGTTGAATGCACGGGAGGAAAAACCGGCATCTTCACGGCGAAACGCAATTAAATTTTAATTTCGCCCCCTTCCCCCGTCCTCGAACCGCCCATCTCCCTTTCGAGGCTTCAATTATCGGGAAATGCCTCGCTCGGCCTTTATACATGATAGCCGCTCGTATCGGGGACCGGCGATCTTTGCGCCGGCGATGGAAAATTGTTTTGGAATCTCGCGAAAGGAAACATCCACGCCCGAGTATTTTGTAATTGAAACGCGACTCTCTGGTTTTCCAGATTCCTCCCCCCCCCCATTTTTTTTTTTTTTTTTTTTTTTTTTTTTTTTTTTTTTTTTTTTTTTTTCAAAGATTGCAATTTCAATCTCTATACATGCGTACACTGTTAACAAGGACGAGTTGCGACACGGGAAAAGAAAAAACCTTTTTGAAAAGGTAGGAAATCCAAATTAAACGAGGTTTTCGCGAGGGGGAAAAAAAAAAAAAACATTTGCCGTTTTTCCCTTTAGCGGCAAAGATGTACAAACACACGTTGAAGAGAGAAGGATCGGCCAACAATAATCAGCTGAAAGCGCACGTAACGGACAATTCGCTAATGAGCTGGACTCCCTCCGGCCCTCCTAGTTTACCCAGCTAATTCGTTGTTTTCTTTCATTCCAGCCCGGCCTGGAAATTTTCTCCCCGGCGAAACAACGGCCCCGTATTAAATCATCCCTGATGCCCCTTTCGCCCGCTAAAGAGCTCAACAACCTCGCGATTTCCGGGAAAAAGAAATTTTAATAAATTTTATGAAATTCCCCGACCCCCCTCCTCGCATCGCTCGAGCGGGAGTGCAGCGCAACATATAACCCCGAGGGCGGACTCTCGAGGCCCTGCAATCTCCGCAGCTCTGTTTTATTAAAGCACGCGTGTGTACCGGAAAAGGAGCCAACCCCCCCCCCC